TAAGATAACAAAGAAAACAAATAGATAAATAAATCTCCGAAAAGACTGAGTTCTACTACAAGTCCATAACTAGCCAAGTAGGAAAGAGGAAAAAATACATCATAGTCTGAAGAACCACAAGTGATTTGAGAAAAAGTCTCAACCAAATAACTACCTAAGACAAGTGAAGTGGAGAACTGATGGAATGAACGGTGATCACTGTTGATGAGCCTGCCCCTCAAAATATTCTCGATCCTGCGAAAAAAGAACGATTCCCGAATCTGGGGTGCGTAAACCCCATGGGAGTCAGAAAACTCCCAGTAAACATGTAAAATAAAGAAATTGTGCATGTGCAAGTGTATGTAGCAGGTATAAAGGAAGATAAAATCTAAATTAAATGTGACTAAAAAACACTACTTATAGATATGGCAAATAAATCAATCACAAAACACATAAGCACATATTTCTTATTTTATATGTTATTTGAATTAGAGGAGAATAGTGTAATGTATATAAATCGGTTTCCCGTAAACCATCCCAGGAACACGACTTCAAGTCAAGTATCGGCCCTTAACCTTTATATATATCAATCAGGATATCAGGAATGCGCATGAGCCCGCTTATATACATGTTATATTCTCCGTCTAATTCCCTATTATAAACCCCACATTTTCCTATTTATTTTATGTGGTTGTGTATGAAATATTGTTCACTAACCATAGAATTTCTGTGGAACGACTTTCGTAAATTTATGAAAAATAACCGTGACCTAAAACATGCCCAATCATGATAGGTGCATCGTCTAGTCAATGCTATTATAATAGATAGTAATAATCAAGAAAAACTCCTCACATCGGGATATCGATGTCGAGGGTATAACCATGCTATGATAACATGTTTATAAATCATTTTTTTGACAGAAGTCGTCTTCATGCACAATCAAACCTATTAAATATCTCTAGGTAATCAAACATATCATCAATAATCGAAACATACCCTCATTCAGCTAAGACACGGTATATAAAAGTTTAGACTTCGAGTTAACGAGTTTACAGAGTTAGCAACCACAAGGATAAATAAAAATAAATAAAACGGGGAAAAGAAAAGGTCACATGATTCGAACTCATGACTCTTAAGAACGTACGTAATATAGACCAACACCCAGCTACTAATTTTTAAATTGAGTTATAAAGTACGAAAAACTAATGTTACAAGTTATTAGGGAAACATTTAAAACGAACGAAGGTGAGAGATCAAGTTGTTTAAAGACTATAAAAAAAACATAAGTTTTTATTTTATTTGTAAAAGGTATTTCAACGAAAATAAATAATAAGAACATTATGACTATGCCAATTTTAACTAGAAAGCCATTTGAATATTTTACTCATTTACTAGCTACATCTCTATAAACAAAAAACCATATTAAAGAAAAGAATTTTTTTCTTGTTGAAGGGATATTATTATTTAGTAAAGTTATCTGGATGTCAAATAAATAATTCTTGAAAGATAATGGTAAATAGATCATTCAAAGAACAAAATATTGATTGGAAAAAGAATTTACAATATAGTTATTAATAAATTTCCAGAACTGTGATCAAATGAAAAGAACACTATAGTTGATACGAATTTACAATATAGTTATTAATAAATTTCCAGAACTGTGATCAAATGAAAAGAACACTATAGTTGATACGAAATCAAATATTGTAATATTTTAACCAGCCTCTTAAAAGACCCATTAATATCTCCCTGTAAAGACTTGCTTATATAAATATTCACCTAGTATGCCGGAGCATGAATATCTAGCTTATATATGAAGAAATACTCACATTGGAGAGAAACTACGATGACACAACTCACAATCACGAATTTTCACAATCATCTATAATATAAAAATATCTAGGAGATCATAACCAAAGTTACGAGCAAAAGAGTAGCATATAATTGATATATACTAAAATAAAATATGGAATTTTTTTCCAAATCTAATGACAAAAGTTTAAAGAGGAAAAATATGCTTGCCGAAATTCGAGAGAAACTCCGAAAGCTAAATTCAAGCAAACTCCTTCTCCACCCCTCCTCAAGTCCAGCCGTTGTTCCTTCTCTTCTTTGCGTTTTGTAGAGTACCGTGAAGAAAAAGGGGTAGAGGAGATGGGTAAAGATTTTAAAGAGATCAAAGTGGTTAGGCTGTTAGAGATTTTCTAGGATGAGTTTTTATTTATTTATTTATTATTTTTTGTTAAAACAAATCAGTTTAAACAAATTTCTGAAAACAAATTTTTTTAAAGGTTGGATTATGTTTTTTTGAAACTAACTCTCTCATATTTCATCGTGAGTGGA